TGCAGTCATTCGCCATCGGAATTTGCTTTCAGATTCCAGCATTTTCAGCCTGTGACGTAATTACTCGCATTCATCAATCACGAGGTTTTTTGAATTTTTATGTGTTAGTCCGCAATTTGCTTCAAGATTCTGTTTACCTTTTGAATGTCTCAGGACATTGATTTAATCAATCACCCTTGCGATCTCGGGCGTACTCGAGATGAGGTGTTCCTAGTGGTGCTCGCTGAGTGATGGAGAGAGCTGGAAGAATGGGTTAAACCAGTGTTTTGCTAATCACCTTGCTTTCTAATAGACTACTTCACTATACATTTTGCTGGCGCTTCACCACACCACTGTTAATCTAATTAGTTGGAATTTAAACAGGAAGTTACCACTGTTCATTCTTTCGAGCTTCCGTTGTCAAAGTGATAGATAACTCGCCTTCATTTCGCCATACCTTCATATACAATTAAAGGATGACCTTCATGGTTTGTTGTAATTGTTACAATTTTTGAAATGTACAGGAGTTTCTTGGAAATCGAAACAACACTTTCTAAAACAGTGAGTATTATTCTAAGCATTAGAATCCTTTTTATTTGGCCGCTTTCAGTGGTGGTACAATATTACAAATTTACCCACTAATTTTACACATTAGTCTACATCACTGAGCCCCGCCTGACGCAAAACTTTTGCGCATAGCTCTGCATCAGTGAGTTTTTTGAACATTATCTGATGGAACACAGTTGGGCAAAATTTTCATAGCCCTAAAGGAAAGCTTTGCATGTGGCTACTTTTCATTTAAAAGGCATTGAATACTCTAAATCCCTTTTTTGGTAGCTGCTTGATTCTACGGTAGTTTTGTAACGCTCCATTGCCATTTCAGCTTATTATACATCCCTTTCTCAGGATCGCTTACTGTGTAGTTTTCCGTTGGATTATTTATTGCCCCTTATACTTTTCTGTTGATTAAGTCAGTAGTATGAGGTATAAATAACAGTTTTTTGGTGGTTTTCAATTACACGGTGAAGTTAGGAGATGAAGAAATAATACTTTTCGCTAGACTAGAAACATTTATAGGAGTGTTAGTAATTATTAAAACGTTCATCTCGGCGTACTGCTCTATGTGCTCGTATTTTGAAAGACGTTTTTATATCGCTCTAGCATTCAGAATTGATTATGTTTCACACCCGACACTCTTACATTTTTATCACGCTCATAATTCACTGGAAGCACGAAAAGCACCTGATCGTGTAGAGGAGATCGTCGAGTATAAGAGTCGTACGTTTTAAGAGAGATTATTCTCCAAATACGAAAAAAACCTCAATTCAATAACAAAAATCGCTCTCCCCATGTGATGCACTGGTTCATCGATTGCCCTTACGGTCCACGGCCACTAGCCGACAAGTAAATACCTAGCGTATATGATACTTGATCGTACTTTCACTGCTACACTGGAGGGAAACGGTCTTTTTGAGAAGTACGAAACGTATGCTATCGAATTTCTACTAATGGTTATAGAAAGTTTGTCCAACGAGAAATGCCCTCGTGTAAAACACAAATCATTTCTTCTCGCTGCAACGCTGTAAAAAACTTTTCTGGAAGGACAAACGCATTTTTGATTTCTTATTTGCTTGAACTATTGAACAATCTCCAGTAGTCCGATGAAAGAGTTTTGTACATTGGGGGACCCTTGTCAAACAAAATTTTATTTTGGATGCTACAATACTATAAAAGTCCTTTTCAAGAGACAAGCATTTAATGCGCTGAATCAAGATTTAAGCTTTAGAACGATTACTCCTAACACTCTTATAAAAAGTTCTGGCACCGTAAAAGGGTTTGTGCCTTCACTTTCTTCCTTTTCACGGAAAAGCACTTAGTTTATTTAGCTGACGTCTCGTTGCGTATGATCTTCCGCAGAGCCAATAATTCGAGTCGATCCGTTCACTGTCGTTCGCTTATCATTGTAGTTGTAATTATAAAATTCTTCAATAAAGCACTTGTGCTCTCAGCGCACTCATGCTATGTGGATAAGTTCTTTCTCATAAGCTGTTATTATTAACATTCTAATTGTTCGCAAGATTTGGACTAGTCGATAAATTTGCAGATATTGTGATATCTTTTTTCATTAATTTCTCTTCTAGTGTTATAATACTATTCTATTTTCACTTTTGCCGTAGCCAGCAGTTGTCTTATAGTAGTTGTTGTTTCGAGTGACTAAAATCAATAATGCATTTGAGATGTAATTACTGGAAGTCAACATTGTATAATACTAACGTGCGGTTAGGATTGATGAGCAGGAATTTTTGTACGCCTTGCAACTATCGTGGGAAATGACAAAGTTAACAACTGTAAAGCGCAAGCGAAGGTGTTTTGGTCGATTAGAAGTGCTGATAGGAAGGTGAGCAGATGACTTTCCAGTCAATCTACGAAACTGGGCTGCAAACGAAACTGCTTCATGTAGTTTCTTGTAACAGAATCCGTCGTTCAACATTTACACTGCCATAGCTAGTTCTATGTCTTGCTGCGTCTAACAGATTCTCATTTCTACCAGAAATCGTGTAAAGTGAAATCGAGCGCAACCATATTTATGTGCAATTATAACTTGCTATTAGCTGCACTATTTCTGTTGGTATTAACAAGATTCTTGTAGTTGAATTACTCATCAGAAAGATTGCAGATGCAAAAACACCTGATTTCTGAATTTGATAGGACAAACTCAGTTGAAAAACTATATTTATGTATATATATATATATATATATATATATGTATATAAATATATATATATTTATTTATTTATTTATTTATACTCAAGATATCTTGCGAATTGTAATTCAAAAAATCAGTCAACCGCATGTAACTTTGTGTATATGACTGAGCCTAGATAATGACTCTTACAACCAACACCTTCTACACAATTTTGTATTAGATAAGCTCATTTATAGCCCAAAAAAGCAAAAAAAGTCTTCGCGCGAGAAAAGCATATGGCTGATTTCATTTGAGATCAACCGACCAGCCTTTGTCGATTGTGAATGAAAATCGATTTATATTGATGAGCAAAGGATTGATTAGCGTTGGCTGGGCATTTTCTGCAAATAATTGCATTTTAAGCAAACTGTTCTTACCCCAAATGTAGTGCTTGTACTTGAAATGATAACGGATTGTCGCTATAGTCGATCATATTGCTTATCAATTTCCTAAATATCGAATTAAATCTTCCTCAGATCGGCGAACTCATATGCTTGTCGGTAAGTTATCTTCTGATTAGATATCTCTGGCTGCTTATTTCATCAATACATAAGAAATTAGCGGTGAATGCAAATATGTCGGGCACTTCTGTTTGGAGAACTTCTGAAATGATCCTTCTATAAATCATTGCATTACAAAACCCTTCAACGGTTTCGCCACAATGCTTCTCTGCTGAAATTCGTTTAGACATAGGAACTTATGGTGGATTTGTTCAACCGGTACAGTACCGAACGGGACTACTAAATTCTGGTAGAATATCGTTTTCAAGAAATGTTCACCAGCTTTTTATTGCAGTCTCACTGTTCCTCTTTCTATTCGTTCGCAAAAACTTTACCAGGTAAGCCTAACGAGTTAAAAGACAAACCATCTTCTATCCTAACGAGTAGTTTGTTCAAGGAATGTATCAAAAATGGCCGTCATCACTTAGTGACGCACGCCTTCGTAATATCTCCTAATTTACTTCACGGTTACAAAACTTTCTGATCGGCATTCTGAACCGCGATGTGGGCTTAGAAATTCCTTCATGACCTATACTTTGATAATAGTTCGCACAACTATTATGAATTATTCACATTCGAACATATCTTATGAATTTGTGCTTCTGAAGAAGCTGAGCGCTAATATTCTGAGTAGTAATTGCTTCACCCGCCCCTTAGTACCCTCTTCTCCAAAATTAAAACCTCAACAAGATTATATGTCTTGAAGAGAAGTTCAACTAAATATTATAACTTAATATTACTGAGACAAGTTCATCATATACTAATCCAAAAACATCTGCATAGGACACATGGTGTCTAATTAGTTACGTTCACTAGATGTCCACTACATTTTCTCTATTCTATCTTAACAACCAAAACAGCAACATCAAAGTTAAGTGATGCAAATTTTGTTTACCTCATAAATTCGAAATTGTTGCTCTCACAGAGCATCGAATACTTTTCAGCTTATTTAGGATTTGGTAGAATCTCGCTCACACTTAAGAAAATTGGTCTATTTAGACTTTGATGTTGACAGTGACAGTTTCATAGTGTTTTCGATGATTTTAAAGTAATCAGATTTCATTTAATTTGACCGCCTATTGCGGTGGTATGATGTTCCATTAAACTCAATAATGTAGAGTGGTGTGCAGAAACATTTGCGTCAGCTGGGATTAGAACCCGGATTTCACGATATCCGGGGCTGCGTGCTGAAGCGTTGTGCTACGAATAGGCGATCAAATAGAATGAATTCTGACTGATTATTGAAATCCAACATCTTTCAGCATAAGTGGGTTCAATGTCGATAGTGACTGCCCAAGCCAGACAGTAGACGGTTGGCTGTTGACAGATAACGCGTTGTAGCCTTGAAGGAGTGGTCTAAAAACGGTCGTCGATAGTGTAACGGTTCAGCACACGCCCCCATAGGGTGAAATCTGGGTTCAAATCCCAGCTGACGTGAATGTGTTTGCACACCATTCTACATTAGTAGATTCTGAAGTATGCAAAATCATTACAGTCTTGATTTGAAACAATTCATCAGTATGCTACCTTTTCATTCGACCACTTTTCATAGACCTGGTTCAAAACAGTGATAGTCTGATGAAAATAAACATATTTTGAGCCGCTTTTGAGGTATAATTAGTACTAAACAGGGGCCTGTTTGTTCCTCCAGGACTCGTCGGTAGCACAGTTTTCTTCGGTTCAGCCGGTCCCTTGAGGCTATACTCCTCTATAAAGGAGACCTTATCTAGCGCTGTCAGACCTCACAGACGGCTCGGACATGTTATATCATGATTAGACTATCTATATTAATCTATCTCATCGACTATATTTTAACCTCGCCATAAACTTCCAATACGATCTGTAAGAATGTTCAAAGTTTTGTCCAGTTTGTTACGTGTGGGCCATGCACGTGTCTCGGGGCGTCACTCTGTTCATCAGTGGCCCACGTTCCACACTGAGTCTTTATTTGTTCTTTCTTAAAGGTTATATTGAATGAATATAACGAGGTTAATTGCCCGCCACAGCTACAATCCATGAAGTGATGATAACACATTATCATGTGTATCATCACCACATACGTCTCCCCTCCGCGCTACAAAGTAGAGCTCAGTGTGTGCGTGAGCCACTGATAATGAGGGCGATACCTTCCAAACACGTGTATGGCTTCAGCGCAAGAAACTTGGTAAGTCTTTGAACGCTCTCAAAAATTGGACTATTAATATAATGATGGATGATTTCTAGTACTAGTATGTATTTCCAAGCTGTCGGAACCACTTATCACATTTTTCAAGAATCTGTTATAACGAAATCAGTAGTGTCTCCAGTAGCATCTTACGTTGACATATTGATGAAAATGTGGAAGAGATTTACACCGACCTTGTAGTTCAGACGTGATGCGGCCAAGCTTTATGTGGAGGAAAATCACCACTTTTCAATTGAGAACGTATTCCATCGAGCAGAACATGGAATTGACAGCATAGTAAAGTATTAGTAGTGACTACTAAAACTGCATGGTTGTTTCATTGATTACTGCAATTAGATATAGATCGTAGCTGTGCTAAGCCTATGAAAATAGAACCAAACTTGGTGCTGCCTTTCTATGAATATCGTAAACTTTATCGTAATGATTCCTTTTGCTCGATGCACATGACACTACAAATTTACTTTGGGAAATTCTTAAATTCAATTCACAAAGTCAAGTGAGGAATCACGCATAATTGGACGCCTTCCACTCTTACACGATTTCATACAGGGTCGTCTTCAACGCCGGTTAGTCTCTTGTAGAAGTCAGTGAGAATCTGTAATCATACGCTAAATAAACGGAAATATTGCTTGCATACAACTGGCCATTGGATTACCTGTGGGTGCGCGACCACGCAAGATACGACAAGGTACTAACTCGACGTTCTTCAACTCAATAAATTTTGGATCACCATACTCGACGACAGCAGAACAAGAAAACGGCTCAGAAGAAGGCAAGACCACTGAAACGACAGCCATCTGTCAAGTATTGTACTGTAGGTATTGTGCTTTAAAAAATCGTCTTTTAACATCCTTGTGTTTACTGAATAAAAAACACACGGAGTTATTTTATCAGTGCCGGGTGCAATCGATAGTCGGTTCTGGGAAGAAAGATGAAATATAAATGAGCCATATGCTGTCGGCTGGTGAACTTACATGAGCCGATTTTTAATGGAAGTCTAAAGCGTTTAGTGTTTCTCAACGCTTCAAAGTTGCCCTCACACTCGACTGCAAAGAGCATTGTAGAGGAGATGACTAAAAATTAGATTTATAAAATGGCTTAACAGTGGGATGAAAAAAGTTGCATATTATGTCAGTAATGACCAACAGAATTCCTGTTACTTGACCGCTTTTTTTGCAGTGGCATGATTTGTAGCAACGGAGGAAGAGTGGTGGCAAAACAAGGCGCCGCTAGAGCAGTTTGTTAGCACACGCTCCCGAAAAGGTGAAATGCGGGTTCAGTTTCCGCTTGACGTCAAAGTCTCGGGAATCACTCAAGATCACTGGGCATTACAAAAGTACTTGTGAAACTGAATGAATCAACAAAGACATATAGTTATTCCAAACCCGACTTTACGTTAATTTCTGGATTGGTCCATAAATTTTGCCTTCTTCTTGAGCAGGCACGAGATTGTCAAAAGAGCTTTACTCACCTCTGGGATTAGTTTCAGTAATTTGCTTTTTATTGGAGCTCGGAATGATAGATTGGTGTGCACTGCATCTGTTTAAAATTTTCATCACCTCAACTAGAGACATAGGTGTCGATAACATATTAAGAGCTTTTTTTTTGGCACTAACCTTCCCATTTTCAAACACTTCACTGATCCGCATTCACAATGCTTTTTTATTGTCCTTCTAGTATTCCTTTCGTTTCTTCTATCTTGTTCTTTAGCATCGTGGTATATTGGTTGAGGAATTCTCCTTGCAATCTCAAGGATAGCCTGGCTGTGACATTTCATAGGTCACAGTTGTTGGCTGCAGGAATAGTGTGGCGTGGGATGGGGTGTGAAAGGGGTGGAGCTCTGCTCCACGCGCTCCGCAACCTTTCATCACAACCACTCGGCCACGGCGCCCCTTTCTCAGTATATGCAAGTTCTCTTCTAAGCCGATGTTATGCTGGCAGTAGTAGTAGTAATAGCTGCAGAAGCTGTTGTTATTGCTGATGATCGAGCATGTATCAAGATCTCGCTCAAGAACAGTATAATCTGACAATGTATTTCGAGCCTTTCATGAGTCTGTCATGAGCACTTATACAGTGCAAGACACGTTTTTCGGCCTTTGAGTCTCGTCAGTTCCACGGTGCTTGAAGTAACATAAAGAATAAAGCTCTAGTCGCATTAATAGTTGAGAAATGCGCCATTTCGACACCATTGTTGGCATCGTTAGAGGTGAATGCATTTATATCTGGCCTTTGAAATAGCTCGAGGTGGCCCTCCGCTGTACCGAGTAGAGTGTGGTGTCAGTTTACCGACTGCGGAGGGATGAACGGCTTGGCAAGCCATGACCGCTCGTTTGTGTGACGCAGTGCAACCTAATCACTGCGCCACATATGCTTCCGCAGTTCTGAACATATCTCATCAATAGTGGCATCTAAAGGCGTTTCCAGGAGTTGCAGTGCTAGTCGCTATTCACTATCGAGTGCCCAGCACCAAGTGACAGAGCTGCTTCTTCAATTTTTCACAAAATCCACTGCGTCCATTACAAAACGGTCGAATAACGCAACTCATGATTAATGTAATTAGATGAAAAACAATGTTAGTCCAAAAATGCAATACCGAGAAAGATTGCTGGAGTGTTTGAACAATATCCTTCTTCAAGAAATATGTCTCAGTGTTATATGATTTGAAAAAATCACTCAAACTTCGTTCAAAAATTACAGCATTTCAGCTTTTCAACTCTAATACGGTTTGTTATGTTTTTTTAACATAAGTTCATCTTGATGGAGACTATTACAATTCACCAGTCACCCCCTACTGATAGTAAAATGCTTCTATCTTGCAAATTACATCAATTTATTGAATAGCCATTAGAATCTATGAACTGTTGTTGCAAAAGCTTGGATTAAGCCCCCTCCACTATGCCTAAAAACTAGATTCCCATACATGATGAATTGTCTCGCACTTGACGCCAATATTAGTGTTACTTACTCAAAACTCTGAACGGTAGTCAATGAATCTGTATAATATAGCGAAATTGAATTTCAAAATAGTTTGATTTGATTTGAATTACAAGCGAATGAGGGAACAAAACGGCGCCCAAGGTTGATGAACGTATTCTGATGATGTCACAGAGCAGATGCCTGACGAATCAGAACAAAGATCATGACGCTTTGCATCCAATTTATAACGTGCCAATAGCTCGTGGGATTGTCGCTTCGATCAATAACTAGACACCTCTTGTTTATACAGTAGAAAGACACTGAGGAGATAGTGTACCGTTCCTCCTGTGATAAGTAGCAAGAACACACTTCCAAACATCCTCTGAACGTCAAAACCTTGGCAAAGCACATTTTAGAGTAATTAATTTTTCGTTTATAGTTATTGCTACGTGGTGATCCAAAGACCGACTGTCTTTTAACCTCGGCATGCTTCAGCAATTCTTATTTTTTCTTTCTTCTTGAGCAGGGTACGAGATGTTGAATTAAAACTTTATTCACAAAATCAAACAGCTAACGTTTCGGCTGGTCGCTTTCGTCAGAGCCTGGAAAGGTTCAAGTCGTTTACAATCCAATCAGTCAAACACTTCGATCACTTCTTTAGAGAAATTTGTTAAACCTAGATTTCATCCGCATCGAGCACAAGGTCGACCTTTAACATGCTCACCGCTTTTTATTATATGTCTCTCACTGAATGAACATGTGATGAACAACGGAACGGAAATCACATAATCCAGTAATGCACAAAACCATCAAAATAACAGTTTTATATACTGACCCATATCACGGGCGATTACGAGGCATTCTTCCATGCGGCTCATAGGTGGATTGGTCGTGCTTATTCTAAAGCTCCTCAAACATCTTCTACATTGGCGAAACGGGTAGGCCGCTTTATGCTCGCAAAGAGGAGCACATATCTGACATGCGCCATACTACAAAAACATCCTGCTAGTTATACATAGAGTCCAAAAGCATGCCGGAGTATTTGATATAGAGGTCACCATCCTTAAGAAGGAGCAAAAAACATCAGCGCGAAGATACTTGAGGCGTTTTGGATAAACATGGCCAATCCAGCTATGAACCGCAGGAAGATTGCCTCGTAATCACCTGTTATATGAGTCAGTATATAAAACTGTTGTTTTGATGGGCACAGTGCATTGTTGGCCTATGTGACTACCGTTCCTTTTTTTCCACCTATCCATCCAGTGGAAGACATATAATAAAAAGCGGTGAGTATGTTGAAGGTCGACCTTGTGCATGATGCGATCGAAATCTAGGTTT